CATTTTAATTATTATGTATTGCCAGGAGGTACGGTGTGTTTGTGCCGGTGGGCGAAAGGGCGAGGAGGGGGTGTTATCTATTTTGCTTCTGTGTCACGTATCACAACTGTAAGGTGATGGGGCTTTCTGAATTGCATTTTGCATTTGGAATCGGGACGTTTGCTGGCTGTCAGTGCTCTGTGCCAGCCACAGCTCAGGGGGAAAGTCTCCAAGCAGTGAGCACCCGTGTGGCTGCAATAAATAGTCTGAGATAACAGACACCTCTCTGAAGTTTTTGTTAGAAAGTCAGCCAGAGGACTCTACTCTGGGCAGTGACTAATGATATTTGAATGTTGCTCTTTATGCAAGGGTGATAATATATAGTGTTGGTTGTTTTTTTTTTTTTTAATTGAAAGGAATTTGTTGCAAGAGGACTCAAAATATAATTTCAGTTGGGTCTTCAAAGGAGGAACAGAAGCTGTACTCAGAAACTGTGATTTCTAAGCTGACTCTAACCTTTTCAGTCTTTCTGAACCGGAAAATTTCCTTTCCTTTGCACAGAAATGAGGAGGACTTCTACCCTGCAGCTCCACATATCCCACTGGCTTTCTGCTCTGTGGTGTGATGTAGGTGTGGAAAGTACAAGCTGGAACACCATTTTAATTAGAAGAAATTATTTTTTGAAGAAGTTTGCCTTCCTATGTTTTTTTATTAACTTTACAGGTGGAGCCCTTGCGAATGTTTGATTTGTCAGAGTAGCGTGCTGTGGAAGGGAGCAATGCATAAACCTGAAAGATATTGATAAATGGGAAAAAATGTAGAATGGAACAGCAGAAATGGTGAGAAGCTTGAAGAATTGACTTTGGAAGGAAGACATTGCAAAAATAGTCTAGAGGAATTTGTGTATTTCCTCACTTCTTGCTTACAGCAACTTTAAAACTAGGGTTAAGGCTGTGTGCTTTGAGCAGTGTAGGAGCCAGAGCATGGACTTGCAGGTGACACAGAAACTCATGTTGTTATAGGAGGTAAAAACAGGATGATGTATTTTCATCTTCCTAATGCTGTTGCGAACTTAAGCTTTGAGGGACCACTGATCATTAGGGTTGCTACCAAGCTTCTTGGTACCCCCAGAAAGGCAGGATCTCTGAGGATGTTGGAGAGATTGAATTACTTTGGGTTGATGTAAATGTAACTACGAGCTGGATTAGTGAACGCTATTTCCTGGGCTGTGTTTAGTGTAAGATCCATTTGCTGGTGATAGGGAAGAGCAGAGATTACCCCAGTACATAGTCGTGCTGTTTTGCTGTCTGGGCTCCATGTCACTTCTACAGACAATCATCAGTAGTCCCTACCACATAATAATGTAATGTGTATTTGTTATTAACCCCTTCCTGAAAACAAGTGAGGGAATTCATTAGAGGATTGTTTCCTCTTTGATGCTAGAGGTGTGTTAATGTCAATGCCAAGGAAGATGTGATTCATAGTAGATGAAGGTAAACCTCTACTGTTTTCCCATCTAACTGGCACAAGTGCTAGCTGCAGTGAGATTATGGTAGTGTGAGCTTCATCATCCCCATACACAGCCGGGGTGGTGGATTTGGGTCAAATCTTTACTGTTGCTGGTGCTTGAGCCACTTTGGCTGAAGGAGTTGGCATCATCTCACTGTACTTTGCAGGTAGACAAAACTCTGTAAGAAGGTAAGAAGCTGCTTGTGAGCACTGACTTTACAGGATTATTTCACTGAACTCAGCACCTGTAAAACTCAGGCACTGGGAAGACGACACTAACATATGGAATCATCATACACGTATTTAATAGCAACAGAATCAACTTAACACAAGTAATGCTATGTCAGCAGCATGGGAGATACAGGGTCTTAGTATGCATTTATAAGGCACAAATATGCATATGTTTTGGAGAAGATAGCATTTGGTTATTAAAAAACATATTTCTATAGGAGTTTTGACTGCTGACTACTGACAAGAAATATTTTGTATTATTGAAAAAGTCATGAGTTTGTTTGACAACGATGGAGTAAATAATGTGTGACTGACAAGAAACTGATATGAATACAGTGTTTTTCTGACCGTTTTTCAAAAAATCTTTTAATATGATCAAGTCGTTATCTTAATCTGGAAATTCCTGTAGAAAAGTTCCTAAAAGGCACTGTGTACACTAAAACTGACATCAACATTTTAGTAAAGCTGGTAGAAAAAAAATTAGAATTTCCTTCAGAAAGAATGGCATTTTCCATAAAGATTATGTACACACACATGCATGTGAATGTCATTGTTTCAGTTGATTTTACTTCAAAAAATGGGAAAAAAATCTAATCTGTAGGTTTTTAGTTTTGTTTTTCACTTTCATTTTCCTATATTGCTTGCCACGGACCTGCTGAACTTTTGCAGTGAAAAAACTGACAAAACAAAACAAAAATTAATTGTAATCTTCCAAGACAACAAAAAATTCATTGTGTTTTCAGGTGGTGTTGATCAGTTTGAGCAGTCTATGTTTCAGAGGGAAAATCCTACCGTAAATGAAGAAGGATTTTTATGCTCTTTGTCGATGCCAGAGTTAACTGCTGGAAAGCTGAGGCCATGGCTTAATATGATACCAAGGTGGTTTGTGCTTAAAAGCAAGAGTGATGACTGTTTGCTTCTTAAAGACCTCTGATTGCCTGGCGTCTTGATCGAAATCCAAACCAACTTGCTTTGAATGACAAATTGATTGTTGTGCGCATTTTTGATAATACAGCAATTTGTCTCCCTGGGTATAATACTCTAATCCCCCCTTCATTTATCAGTAGGGAATCAGCAATTCAGCTCTTCCTCAGGCTGAGGTTTGGCACGGTGGCAGTGACACTCGGTTGCCCAGTTACAGACTCTGTGGTGAAGATACCCCCTCCCAGCATCATCTCCGCGCTGGTTCCTCATCATGCATTTCAAAGTGCTCTTTGGCACCTGCCATATTGCTTGTTTTAGAAATGTAAATGCTTAAGTCAGCAACAGACAACAGAATTTTGTCTGTTCCTGAGATTTCTAATTTCTTGTTGGCACACAGTTTCCTTTTCCTCTTTACTACTCTGCTCTGACTCTGTTCTCATCTTCTAATTTGGATGGCCCTGAGGTGTTGGTTTGGGCTTCAGCCAGCACTGCGCTCCAGTCATCCCTTGAAGAAAATGGTCGATACACAATAAGAGTTCTATGGTCCTCTTGGTCTTAGCATATGCAGTATGAGAAGTTCCAATTCCCAGGGAGAAATGCACATTTGTGAAACTCAAGGTACCCCATGTGGTGACCATTTCACAGCAAGGTGCAGAACCTCTGGAGTTGCTTGTCCACCTCTTCTCTCATGGTTGTGCTGTATTTCCTCCATAGCCCAGAGTCTGATGGGTTTGTGGCACTAACTCTATGTATCCCAAATAAGACACCATCTGTCCTGATAAAAGCAGATGTCATTCACCAGCAGAAGTGGAGGGTGAAAAGAGATGGAAGACACGGCATCCTTCCCCCTTCTGTGGTGATCGATCACAGATCTTTAACCGTATTGAATAGCTGGGTGTTGCTGTCAGTCATGATCTTTCTATAGAAAGCCCACGTGTAAGACAAAGCAGAAAAGCACACAGTCTGAGCAGGATATAGACTCTGATAACTTGTGAACATCATCACGTGCCCTTGTAACCACAAGCTCATGGACAGTTATTCCCTCTTGGCATGCAACAGGGCAGGGCTTTTCCACTGCTCGCAGCTTACTGAGAAAGCCACAGCACATCTGTTCGGTGGCTTGTGCCATTGAGCATTCTTTGCATAGCCTGCCTGGATAAGCTGTCACTCTTGATTTTTAAAACATGTCACAACAGAGGGTTAGCCTAGAATGGAGAACCTCTTCTGAGCATCATCTGCAGAGGCCCCTGTGCTCACAAACAGCTGTGCAAGGCTGCCACCATCATGTCTTATGTCAACAGGAGATCGCATCCTCTGTACTGCAGCAAAGCACACTGGTGTGTCTACCCACTGTCAGTCAGCTTCTGGCCTCTGTTTTTCTATTATTATTTCTCTAGATCAATGCTTTTATTTGTTCGTCCACGCTGTCCATTCAGGTTTTAGAGATCCTCCTTAGAAGTTCTCTTTTCTTCAGACTCTCTGGGAAATCGGTTTTGTTTATCATTTTTAGAAGAAGTTGGCCTCCTGTTATGTTTCTCTCAATGTTAGACTTTGTTGGCTGGAGATAGAAGAGGGAGTGTGTACACAAAGGCTCTCATTAGCCTGGGGATGCTAATTTCCTTAAGCCTCATTGATAGTCAACCAGGGAATGATCCAGAGCACTTAAATTTAGCTTGCTCCTCTGAATCTCCCTCGAGAAGTGTCTGTCTCTCTACATTACCATTACAGATGACTGTGTTGATAAATATTTGTATTTATGAATGCTTCCTTGTTTGCTTGATCTTTAACAGGGTGCATTTTTTCTGTTTATTTTGCTTTATACTGTATGTTTTCTATGCTGAGCAGAATCCACCAGACTGGAGGAGTGGGCTGCTTTGTTAGCATTATTATGTTTTGACTTATAGGTGCTTGCATTTTTAACCTATGAGTCAAGGAATTTCTGTCACAAACTTCAATTAATATGTATCTTGTTGGTGTAGAGTGTAAAAGTTATGGGCACACTTATGGTTTGGTTTCACTCCATGGTGCTATTGCGAGTTCAGTAACAATGTTCTTGGTTAGAAAAGCCAGGGACATGGCTAGATGATGTTTCCTACAAACATTGCCCACAGCCCTGCTGCCACCTTATGAAACTGGTCAGATTGGGAATACAAACAGCAAGTGCCTAAAGGGCTTTGAAAAAATGTGTTTGTTTTTTCAATTTATAAAAGTTAAAATTTGCAAAACAAAGTAAAAACATGCCATTCATCTCCCAATTACTGTCCCACTTACATATGCTGGTTGGTGGGTGATATTTGTGAATGTTATCATTCCCAGAATGTACTTGTTAAAAAAACATTTCTCTGTTTCTGTTGCAGTGAACTATTTCATAAAAAATGGTACTGAAGATGTGTTACTGTGTGGCAATAGCACTGATGCTGGGTAAGTGCTTTAAAAATATCTTCACTTCTGGTTTGGTTTTGTTGCATTTTTTTTTCTGTCTTTCTTTTTGCTATATTTCCTTCAGTTCTGTCCGCTTCTCAACAGCATGAAGTAGATATTTCAACTTCCTTGTGTCAGTTGTAATAGGAGAGAGGATACTGACAATATTGTGCATAGTAATACAATTTTCTGAACTGCAGGAAAGAGGAGTTTGTGTGTGTCACTTATTCAGGTCTAAAATCTTTAAGAGCCTTATTACAGTTCTTTTTCAATATGTTTAAATTTCTCAGCAAAATAAACAGTGAAAACTAAGTAGCGCTTTGGCTGAGGGGAGAGTATTTTAAAGGAAATGAAGGAGGAATGGAAACAGAAAAGCTGGAGGGATTTAGACTGATGATGAATTCTTGGCTTTTCACAAAGGGAGACAACAATGCAACAAATGCTAGTCCCCAAAATAACGTGCTTTGGAGGTGGGAAGGTACTTGGTTTTGAGTTGTGATCTACATTTGTACATGATACGTTTATAGACTACGTGTGTTTCATGGTCTTATAGTATAAACAGTGAAGAGATCCAGAATAATTCCTGTGGTATACAACTTACTCTGCATGAAGGACTTTATTCATATCCCTACCATCTGTAGATGTTAACAGTTCTTCCTGCATCCAGTCCTCAGGGTCTAAGCGCTTTGTCTAAGAGTGTGATTTTACTTGACAGGTTCTCGTGATCTTGATGGAAATGGAAGAGTTCAGATGGGATGAAGAGAGATGGGATCTTGTGTGGGCAGAGGATATAACAGCCTACAATCTTTGCAGGGCTTATTAGGAGTTGTAGGACACGGAAGAAAAGACCTTAGAGTGGTGGGATGGATGAGCTTTTGATCTAAATATGTGAAAGTGTTTGAACCAGGCAGGTAGATGACGTAGGTCAAGTGAGGGAAGGGGGCGAGATGATCTACTTATGGAGGGACATGTTTTGAGTTCGTAGAACTAAATGTGAAAGGCTGAAAAAAAAAAAAAAAGAAAAAAAAAAAGGGTTTAAATCAAGAAGAACTTATGTGAAGAGAGGCATGTGTACCCAGGGAGAGAGCAGGAAGATGAAGGGAAGACAAAATCTAAACTTGCTTATGGAGAGGAGGATGAGAAAAGCTATGGGGTCCTGGAGAGAGATGCTTTACTTTCTGCTGCCACTGTCTGTGTCTGTATTAAATAAAACAAAGGGAAAGCTGAGGAGTCAGCCTTCCCTCTGCAAGTCTTGTATGTCTGATTTGTATTGCTAGTCTCAGTTAGACTGTAAGCTCCTTGGGCAGAGGGCCATGCTTTCCTCTTTGTTTGTTCCACGGAAGGTACAGTGTCAGCATTCATTAATTAAGTGCTCTGTTGATTGTAATACATTGCATTTATCCAGGCGCAGGCTGGACTCCAAGACTACTGGGATGTTTCCCGGGAATCCCAGGATTTGGCAATCTACCTATGCTGGTAGACTTCTGTCTTTGCTAGCCAATAGGCAACAGTATTGAGTGAAAAAATATTCAGTGCAGCAACAGTATTTCATGAAATACTATCTGCTGTTTTTCCTGGTGACCTAAAGCACTGTGGTGGCAGGCTGCTAAGGTCATGAGCAATGTCAAAAGGGTTGATTAGATTATGTGTAGTTTGTGAGGCCCAGTTTAGGGACTGCTGCTTTGGAATTGTCCAAATGGTGGGAAGTTAAACACCAATCCAATAACCATGGAGTATCTATGTATTAGTAGCTGGTATAGATCTAAGGCTTGGGTTCTAGCAAGGCATATTGGCAAAACCACCTGTATTTCCGTCCCTAGAAAGTCAATAGACTGCAGTGTGTCAGCAAAAAGCCATGACTGAAGAAAGCCTCCAATGAGGGCACTATAACCATGAGAGAGTCACAGCCTGAAACAGCCAGGGGAGAACTTCCAGCCCTTGTGTACGAAAAGGGGGAAACGCCACTTCCACACCTAGAATCCTTGAGCTTGTTTTGATAAATACATCAAAACTAGCAGTGTTTGTGCTGCTAAGGGAAACCCACTTTCCCTTTGTGTATCAGTCCTTTCTTCTTCATCCTCTTCCTGTTTTAGTTAAGTATTTAATAGCACTGGGTTAGATTTAGTTTTAAATGTCTTAAAATGGAGAATACATATTCTTACTTCCACTGTCTTTAGCTCAGAACTAGCAAGTATTGTCTCATCTGCTACGCTTTGCCCAGAGTTCCTGCCAGTCATCCATTAGTTTAAAGGCATGAAGGTAATTAGGAAGATGACCCTAAGTCCTCAGGGGACTTGCAAAGTCATGTATTCCCACCTGTTAAGACAGAGATACCATCATTTACAAGCTGGCATATCTAACAGAGTGGAATTTGTTTTCTCTTGTTCTTCAATGGTCAAAACCCAGAGCAAGTGTGTTCAATAATAAATCTGAATGTGTTACCCACAAAATCTGAATGTGTGGGCCCTTTTGGGATACACCACAGTATCAGGGGCGGTGAGTTAAGAGTGAGTGGATGCATCAGATTGTGATTCCTCCATCTATTCAAAATGAAATTTATGACAAGTGAGGATGATTAAGTTGGGAAGCCATCAAGACACCAGGAAGCGGGGTAGGGAAAGACAGTTGATAAGGCTGTGTCTGAGTGTTCACAACAGTTTTGGAGTGTGCTTCTGCTCCCAGTTTGGAGCTTGAATTTATTAGCCTCTGGGGTACACTGAGGACTCAAAGGAAATGCGGGGAAGGGTGGTGTCATGTGTGCACTCCTGCAGGGATTTGTTGTTAGAGTGAGGGATATCTGTGTTGTGGCCAGGATATTAAATCTCGAGGTAATTGACAAAGCCATTTTAGTGCATTTTCAAAAGCATGTTAATGACACTCTGAGGTTTGGCTGGTTGCTGTTATTATAGAAGAGTAAAAAAAAAAAAAAAAACTAAATAAATCTACTATAGCAATTATTAGGTGATGAGACTCAGATGGTCTGATGTAAGAGCGTGTAGTGATACAGACTGCAACCTGAGCTGGAGTAGCAGGCCAAAATCAGCAGGGAAATGATCATCAGTGTATGCTATATCACAGACAACCTAATTATCTCCAAGGTGGGGGCTTTATTACATTACTAGGAGGGACTGTTTTCTGAACAAGCACCCAAACTGCCAATAAAACAGGAGGTAATGGACCTAGCTAATATTGATTCTAGTTCAGAAGGGATTTGAATAGATGTATGTCACTCAGCAGCAGCAAACATGTCTCTGGTACTTTAACGGGCAACTGGAAGAAAAAAAACATTTCTTTATGTTTTTAGGTATGCTCAGGCAGCCTCAAGGAGATACTTTAAAAATTACATTGCAGAGACATGGTAGGAATACTGGGAAGATGCCATATTTCTTGTTTGCACAAGCCTGTGGGGTTGCCCACGTGATGCCTCAGAAACTTTCTGAAATTTCATTTTTTTCTTCATTTAATCAAATAGAACTTTTGTGTTGGTTATCATTCTGTTTATCCAACAGCTTTTTTCTCCTTGATGTACTGCTAGAATTTGCTTTGTATTTACAAGGAACAGAGAGTTCAATGGAAACAAGAAGTAATGTTTGGAATAGAAGGAAAATCAAATGATTGTGATCAAAGATGTTCTTTGGCTCAAAGTGAATGCTAGTGACGCGTGGTCGGTGTTTCACAACAAGCACATTCAGAGCACTACATTAATGGAAAAATCCTCTGCTCTGAGATGTGTGTCACAGATTGGTCAGACACTGGAAGCAGCTCTAACAGCAAGGCTCTGTTAACAGAAAAAAAAACCAGTGTATTTGCAGAATTATTCATGTTTCGAGATGTGTTTCGGGGTTAGATTTGGTTGTTCTTTTGGATGTGGCAGCTCTGGGATTTGTCCAAGTTGGTTCTCTTTGCAATTTCAGCTTCTTGTATTTGATTTCATTAAAATAAATTTAGAAAGCTCAGATAGATAGTCTGATTTTCAAAGGGATTAGAAATTCTATAAATTTGCTTTTCAATTTAATTCCCAGTGTAGTAGCTTATCCAATTTGAACACCTTGTTTTAGCCCTGAGGAAGGTCCAGTATATACCCGACACAATGATCAGATTTTACCGGATCTTAGCTAGGAGCAGAGGCCGAAAACTCCTCTAGCCTTAGTGAAATCCAGTTTTAGCATCAAGTGGACTGTGTTTTGCAAGGGCTGCAGAAGAGCAGGTGATAGCAAGTAGCACTGCACACAGCCTGTAATCAGGCATCACTGGCCTTTTGAAGCCATCTACCCTATTGTATGAAAGAGGCCCTTGATGCCAAAATTACCACATACCCACAGATGACTATTTACAGTGACAGTGCCAAAGGGAAGACCTGTAGCTGGATGCAGTACTTTAGGGTATGCTCAGGGACCTACTGCAAGAACAAACTCCAGCACACTTTGCTTGCCCCAACCAGCCTGGCCTTGAACACCTCCAGGGATGGAGCATCCACAGCTTCTCTGGGCAATCTGTTCCAGAGCCTCACCACCCTCACAGTAAAGAATTTCTTCCTAATACCAAATCTAAGTCTACCGTCTTTCTGTTTAAAACCGTTACCCCTCATCCAATCACTACTGCAGAATCCCGTGCTTCCGCACAGACTAAAGACTTACAGGGGCTTCAGTGGCGTGGAGTTATCTGTCCATGAAAAAGGAAGATACATTTCAAGTCTAAAGCATTTCCACTTTTATCCTGTTGTAAGTTCACAGGGATATATTTTCTGCTGTGCTTGTGCTGCTGTTTTTTTCTTCCCCTTCTGCCTGAAGGTTTGGAAGAGCAATAGAAACAACAAGGAAATTTGTCCATTAGGAGAAAGAGAAACAGGCAAGATGCTATCAATGTACAAAGTAAACAAGCAGGAAAAAAAGAGAAACTTATCTTCTTTCTTTTCACTTTTCCACTTGCAACTACAACATAGAGCTGGGCTTTCAGAAAATTGTGCATGTTTTAAGTCAGTTGTGTCCCTTTTGGTTCCC